GATCTCCGAAGCACCTTTGTTCTCAGTGCTACCTGGTTCACAAATCTTTTTTCTGTTCAACTAAACTCTGTCAAATTCAGTCTTAAGGCTTTTCTCTTTAACAGTATACATACGTCACACATCGCATTGTACTACAAAAATGTAATTCACTGTGTGACATGGTAAAAGCCCCATAAGACTGCATACCTCAACCATACCTCAGCTTCCTATTGAAACTGCTCTCTGTAACCCAAACGTGACAGGCAAGCAGCAACAAACCCACGCCATTTTGGCCCCTGCGACTTGTAATAAGTATTAAGGACTGTAATTTCCTACCCAGACAGTGTGTAAACAAATGCTAATCTTGACTTTTGTGAACCACTTAAGTAACAATCAGAATGTCCAAACTCCCCTGGCCCTCGGAGTGTCCGGAGCCCCTCACCCTCATCTTCGCCCAGGGGGTGATTTACAGACTCCACTGGCCCTCAGAACGTCTGAAGCCCCTCACCCCCACCCCTGCCTTCACTCCCGAGGTGGTTTTACGGGTATAGAAGGTCTTGACACCCTCTTTTCGGGGCCACGGGTCGGAGAGACGCGAGTCCTCCGTGGCTGCCGGCAATAAAGACCCCGGAATTTGGTATACTTTTGTCTTGGTGTTGACTTTCTATGCTCGAGCCAGTACACTAACTGTGATTTACAAATTTACAATAGTCTATATTTTTTTTGAGACAGAGACAGCTCTGTCACCCAGGCTGGAGTGCAGTGGCACCATCAGGGTTCACTGTAACCTCAAACCCCTGGGCTCAGGCAATCCTCTCACCTCAGCCTCCTAAGTAGCTGGAACCACACGAGCATGCCACCATGCCCAGTGAATTGTTTTTTAATTATTGTAGAGATGGGGGTCTCACTGTGTCACCCAGACTGGTCTCGAACTCCTGGTCTCAGTGGCTCCTCCTGTGTGATCCTCCCACTTCAACCTCCAGAAGAACTGGGATTACAGGTGTGAGCCACCACACCTGGCCCAAAAATAGTATAGCGTTTCTTTTGAAACACTAGATGATTTCTTTTTCAGCTTTTATTTTAGAATCAGAGGGTACCTGTGCAAATGAGTTACAACAGTATATTGCGTCAAACTGAGGTGTGGGGTATGCCTGAACCTGTCAAGGGGATATTTTGGTTGTCAACTACCTGAAAAAAAAGTATCCTTTCCAATCAACAGCTGCAGCACTATTTTAAAAAATGAAAAGGTAACAATAAGGGTTAAACAAATTTTGACAAATTTATAAAATGCAATATTACGGTGACATTAAAATATTTTAGACTGTTTAATCAAGGTAGGGAAAATGCATACTTTACTGGGTAAAAAAAAGAAATGATAGAGAAATCTTTTTTTTTTTTTTTTTTTTTTTTTTTGAGATGGAGTCTCACTCTTGCCAGGCTGGAGTGCACTGGTGCAATCTCGACTCACTGCAAGCTCCGCCTCCCGGGTTCAAGCGATTCTCCAGCCTCAGCCTCCCGAGTAGCTGGGATTACAGGCAGGCGCCACCATACCGGACTAATTTTTTATTCTTTGTAGATATGGGGTCTCACTATTTTGCCTAGGCTGGTCTGGAACTCCTGGGCTCAAGCAATCATCCTGCCTCAGCCTCCCAAAGTGTTGGGATTACAGACGTGAGCCACCACACACAGCCAAGAAATCATATTGTATGAACCCAACTTTATGAAATACAAACTACTCACACATACTGGTGGGGGAGGGGAAAGAACTGAGAGGAAATTAGCAAAAATGCCATTAATGGGTAATTCTCGAAGGGATTACAAGTCATTTTTACAATTTTTTCCTGATGTGTCTTTTAATTTCCAAATTTCCTCTAATTAACTAATATGTAACTTTAAAATAAGCAGTAATTCATTTAGAGAATAGATTTAACATCTATTCTCTAATTGCTTTTGTTGGCAATAGTGTTCCTATTACAAGTTCAAAAAAGTCAATAAATCAGGGATAAAAAGAAGTGTTCAAATCTTTTTTCCTAATTTTTTTTTTTTTTTTTGAGATGGAGTTTTGCTCTTGTTGCCCAAGCTGGAGTGCAGCGGCGCGATCTCGGCTCACCTCGACCTCTGCTTCCCGCATTCAAGCGATTCTCCTGCCTCAGCCTCCTGAGAAGCTGGGATTACAGGCATGCGCCACCACGCCCGGCTGGTTTTGTATTTTTAGTAGAGACAGGGTTTCTCCATGTTGGTCAGGCTGGTCTAGAACTCCCAGCCTCAGATGATCCGCCCCGCTCAGTCTCCCAAAGTGCTGGGATTACAGGCGTGAGCCACCACGCCCGGCCAACTCTTTTACAAAATGTGAAGGAAAGGAGAAATCTGAAGCTGGGAATCAACTAAATATAAGTGGAATATATTCTTCAATTCATGTTGAATGGCTGAGATAGCAACCACCTCTTTTTCTTAGTCAATATTGACTTTGAATAGTTATAAACAGTTGCTCCTCTTATAAGGTCAGGCCTAAAAATGACTCATCTGAAATGATGACAGCAGACAATTCCATCAGCAAGAAAGACCGTTTTGAGTTCATCACTGAGGGAAAGCTGAGGAAAGAGAGCAGAAAAGTTCCAGTCTGCATTTTCCAAGCTGCTGCCCTCCACGCCACCGAGACCTCCCAGATTCTTCCGTAGGATCTAACAGTAAAACCTCACGGAGCAGATCATTTGAGCGGGCCAGGTCCAGAAGATGCAGCAGTCTTTCAGGGCAGATCACTCTGGGGAGACAGGCAGGTGGGGCAGCCAGGAAAGGAAAGTGAAGCTTAAAGGTCTAAGGAGAATGGGGAAGGCAGGGTGAGCAGAGAGGAGGCAGCTGAACTGAGCAGGCACGGTAAGCCACAGCAAGCAGCGTGAGTCGACTCTGAGGAAGGGAATTTCCAAACTGAACCTGTGACTCAAAAAACTGACCCCCAAATACTAACCTAACTCTGCTCCCACTCTACCTGAATTTTTTTTTTTTCTTGTACATCTTCTCTCATGATCTTCCCAAAATGTGTTTCTTAAGCTGCAGGGAGAGGTGAACAATGGAAGGAAGAGGTTCACCGCCAGAGTAGCCCCCAGGATCAATCAGGGGCCTCAGAGAAGCCCCAGAAGAGCCAGGAATGTGCTGCAGATCATCTGAGGAGAAGCCGGGCATGGTGGCTCACACCTGTAATCCCAGCACTTTGGGAGGCTAAGATGGACGGATCACAAGGTCAGGAGTTTGAGACCAGCCTGACTAACATGGTGAAACCCCGTCTCTACTAAAAATACAAAAACAGTGGCATGTGCCTGTAATCCCGGCTACTCGGGAGGCTGAGGCAGGAGAATCACTTGAACCTGGGAGGCAGAGGTTGCAGTGAGCTGAGATCGTGCCACTGCACTTCAGCCTGGGTGACAGAGCAAGACTCTGTCTCAAAAACAAAAAAGAATAAAAAAGAAAGAAAGAAAACCTGGGAGAGTCCAGCGTCCACGCAGCGTTCCACTCAAAACAAGACTCTGTCAGGAAAGCCAACTCCAAGATTAAATGCCCTAAAAGGAATAAAGCAACTGGCCAGGAACATGATCCAAGCAGTCTCAGTGTCTTCAGACCCAACCCATCACGGCACCCACAATTGGAGACCACAGTCTCAATGACGTGTTCACATTATTTTGCATTTCTTGAGTAATCGTAACATGCGGGTTAGAAGACATGGATTAGAACACTTCGGATGAAAAGCCAAGTAACTGGGAAATTTTGGACTACTCCCTCAAAAAAAAAAAAAAAAGCTCATGTGGAAGCACCAGGACTTAGCTTCTTCCGGACTATGTTTATGTGGAGCATCTTCCCCTTTGTAAGCCCCTGATTGGGTAAAAGTATCAAAAGAGTGCAGCCCATTTTTTGATAGTTTGAAAGAAAACCCCCCAAAACACTTTATGTTGTTAGTTCTTTGATAAATCAAGATGGAGCCGCACACCTGTGTCACCGTCCCTCCCATTTGGTTCCTGTGAACACGTCAGAGAGCCTGCGTTCACCCTCCACCCAACTCCCTCCAATACCACACCAGAAAGAAACTTCAGACGAAATGTTTTTCAATATTTGCCTTGTTTTCTAGAACAATTTTAAAGTATAAATTATAACTGAATAAGTACAAACACCTTGTTTGTACTTATTCAGTTATAATTTATACTTTAAAATTATTTGTTACTTGCTTTAATTTTCAAACACCTTGAACCCAGATTTTCAGGAGTCTCAATATGGAGTTTTACGTTTAAAAGCCTAAATTTAGCTTTCTTCCGAGGAAAAGCGGGGAAGAAGAGAGGTTAAGACTAAAATACTCTGATTTGCAGAGTTTGACAATATCCTTCCAATTTCTCAATATCAATGCCCACTGACCCAGACGTTTTTCTAGGAATTTTCCACCGATATATTTGTGTGAACGTATACAGAAAACGATATTCACTGTCGTATCTATGCTAGCAAAAACTCGAAACAACCTAAATCTCCATTCATTGTTTAAACAACACACTTCCCATACTATGCTTCAGGTTTTTTAATGCCATGAACCCACCGATCTGTCCTGCCATAAAAAAAGATGTCCTTAATATACTCAGTGGACAGAGCAAATTCCAAACGATTTTCAAGACTTGTACACAGAAACGTTTCTGATAAGGTACAAACGAAAATGAGACTGAGTGGAAGATAGAGAGACCCATTTGTCTGCCTTGTTTGGCTTTTTTTTTTTTTTTTTAAGTTTGTAACATTTCTGTCATTTCTTTTTTTTTTTTTTTTTTTTTTTTCAATTAAACACAAAGTCATGCCATAAGCCCAAATAACTCTATCAGCTTAGGAAAAAAAAAAAAAAAAAAATCATTGGCCCAATACATGCCCGTAGTAAATACAGACCGCGATCATCACTTGCACAGTTATCGATCACCTCCTTAGCCATCTGGCTGGCACGGGAGCAGCGCTGATGTCTGCGCCGAAAAGGAAACTTCCCCGACGAGCCCCGCACTTGCCTGCAGCGCCCCGCGGGCGCCCAGCCTCCGCCGCCGCGTTCCACGCCCGGACTGAGCCGCGCTCGCAGCTGGCGCCGCCGCCGTTCCGCTCCGCGCCGCCCTCGTCCGGCCCCGCGCCCGGCTGCGCCCCGCCCGGCTTTCGTTTTCCACTGAATGGAAAGCGAAACTTAGCGGGGCGCCCGCGTGCAGGGAAACGCCGCCCGCCGCGGCCGCGCACCTGCCTGCTCGGGACAGGAGCGCCCGCAGAGGGGCAGGGCTTGCAAACGCTGCCCTTTGCCAACGTGTCCAGAACACACGCGCTTTTTTTTTTTTTTTTTTTTTTTTTTTGACAGTTTCTGTGGTCCAAGCTGGAGTGCAGTGTCTCAGGGGCGCGATCTCGGCTCACTGCAACCTCGGCCTCCGGGGTTCAAGTGATTCTCCTGCCTCAGCCTCCCAGGTAGAGCTGGGCTTACAGACGTGCACCACCTCGCCAGGCTAATGTTTGTATTTTAACAGAGACAGGGTTTCGCCGTGTTGGCCAGGCTGGTCTCGAACGCCTGACCTCAGGTGATCCGCCCGCCTCAGCCTCCCAAAATGTTAGGATTACAGGTGTGAGCCACAGCATCCCACCTACATGCGTCTTTTTATTTGCGATTTTCAGGTCCCTGCAATTAACATGCGTCTGAGAGTCATCTAGCATTTAGTAATATCCGCTGCAGCATTTTTTTTTTTTTTTCTTAGTGCTATTGTATTTCTTGGATCGTGTATCTTCACATCACCGGCCTGTGGCTTGGATGACATGTGGCACGTGTTATAATTAGGAGCTCCTCTGTGGGCCTGCAGATACAGATATTCCTCCACTTAAGTTGGGGTTAGGCCAAGTGCGGTGGCTCACGTCTGTAATCGCAGCACTTTCAGAGGCCGAGGCGGGCAGATCACCTGAGGTCAGGAGTTCGAGACCACCCTGGCCAATATGGTGAAACCCCATCTCTACTAAAAGTACAAAAATTAGCCAGGTGTGGTGGCGGGCACCTGTAATCCCAGTTTCTCGGGGGACTGAGGCAGGAGAATCGCTTGAACCCAGGAGGCAGAGGTTGCAGTGATTCAAGATTGCACCACTGTGCTCCAGCCTGGACAAGGGTGGGGCTCCGTCTCAAAAAAAGACAAAAAAAAAAAAAAAAAAAAGACGGGGTCAGGCCCCAGTGAACCCATCATGAAGTCGAAACATCATAAGTGAAACCATGGTAAGTGAGGGACCATCTGTATATATAAGGTTAAAAGAGCTGTAACATGGACACCAGAAAGGCTCATTACCTCTTTAGAGATGTATTTCTTGTATGCAGACTCGTGGGGGTGGGGGCAGAGGGGTTACCTGCCAGGGGCCTCAAACTCCAGCCGCTGGAATTGGCGCAGGAAAGCAGGATACAATCCCCACAAAGCGATCCGTCTTTCTCAAAGCCGTCCCCCCAGCAATGGACAAATAGAGAGGCTCTAAAAACCCAGCGCTGCCAGGACCTCACCGAGGCACTGGTAGGGCCTGTAGTAAGGTACAAAATACCAGGGCACGAAGATGTATAAACGTCTGCATAACGGGGGATGTGTGTTAGAAGCATGAACACAGACATATACATGCGGGCTATCCACACGTCCATCATAAGCCCAGACTCCCCTTAGGTTGCTGCTGGGATGGAGGCAGTGTTGTGCACAGCACAGCATTTCTCTCGGGAACGCTGGTGGACTGTGAGCAACATGGTGTTTACACAGGTACACAGTACTGGGCACGGAGTGCATCCTCATTATGTATGTTGACCAATCGGTTATATAACGAGCTTCAAGCATCTGGTAAGCCTTGTCCACAAACAGGAACCTCAGAAACTCAAGTGAGGGTGATGAGGAGAGGATGTTGCAAAATTTGATAAAATACGCTACATACATTGAGTCAGTAGAAGGCTAAGGACCAAGCTGTATTTGCTTGCAGCAACTATCAGCAGAAAACTCTTAATAGTCGATCCAGTGATTCTGTCTGAATCTTGGTAGGTCAGTGGAGCAAAGTACTTGGTCTTGCTGCCCCAGTGCAGAACGGACAAGGGTGAACCTTGCGGTGGAGGCTGGACATTATAACGTAAGGATCCATTACACTTCTATGGGGCTCTTCCGTCCTTCATGGTACCTTCCTGAACAATTCCATGCTAAGGCCATCAGGTGTGTCAAGCAAATTGGGCATCTGTGTAGGATGTTCCACAGTGGCCCAAGCAGGATGAGGAGGGTGGCGGCACAGGGGGGCTGCCCAGCACACCGTCAGACACAGATGGGTGCTGGTGCAGCCGGCCCCGGTGTCAGATCCCAAGCGGTTTGACGATGTGGCACGTCCCCGTGTCGGAGTGGCCCAGTGTGTGGTGTCGGGCGCAGGGGCAGGTGCTGGCGGAGATGACAGATCAGTTACATACAGGGAGATGACCAGGTGACCGAATGTATTAAGGATAATTGGAGCCAGAGTTGAAACTGTCAGAGGTTGGAGTTACACGTAAGGAAAGGGAGAATGCGCCCACTAGTGTTGAACTGGAACTGGACTTGGCAGGGTAGATCTTTGGTTTTCAGTATGTGCACACAGACAAAGAAGGACATGTGGAGTTCAACGTGTGTATACACACATATGCCTTACATGCATACATCCCCTGACTCGGTCTGGAGGGGGCCTGGGAACAGTGACACCCCAATCTGGCAGCCAGATTTTGGTTTCTAATTCCCATTCTTTAATAAAAGGAACCAATGTTGCTTAGAGAAATGGCCGTTTCTGGGGTTACGGCAGAGAAAGTACAAGATGGGCGAGGACATCTCGTTCTGCCAGAAAGTAAGGGAATGCTGGAAGAATGATGGGGATGTTTCAAAACGATACAGAAGCCAGCTCCAAGATCATGCTCCCACTGGCCAAATGCGGAACTTGAGCAGCAAAAGAAATGATGATAGTAACATTTCAACCCTTTAAATAAAACAGGAAGCCATGCTTCATACCAATAAAAGTAGATACGAATAAATTAAAATTTTGGTGAGGAATACGATACTTACACAGTTTCAAAGTACCTTCCCACAAAGTCCATATTATTCATTTCCAATAATATTACATATATGTGATACCAACCAGGTTCATTCTGCCCACATGCGATCATCAATCACTGCGACAGGTTTTGCAAAAGAGAAAAAGAGTTATTCACAAGGCAGCCCAGTAAGAAGGCAGGAGAATAGCTCTCCTCCCCGGCCGGGCACAATGGCTCACGCCTGTAATCCCAGCACTTTGGGAGGCTGAGGTAGGTGGATCATGACGTCAGGAGTTCGAGACCAGCCTGACCAATATGGTGAAACCCCATCTCTACTAAAAACACAAAAATTAGCCGGGCATGGTGGTGCAAGCCTGTAGTCCCAGCTACTCGGGAGGCTGAGGCGTGAGAATCGCTTGAACCTGGGAGGTGAAGGTTGCAGTGAGCCAAGATCACACCATTGCACTCCAGCCTGGGTGACAGAGTGAGACAAGATAAGGCTCAGGGGTATTTACCCGTGAGAGCAGCAGCTCGGTCTAAGGCGTGGGCAAAGGTGATTGGCAGTGGGGGAGAATGAGGCAGCTGGAGACCTGTGCAAGTATAGGGAGGGTTCACGGCACTTCACAGGACACATGCTCAGAAAATGACAGCCTTAGCATGATTTGAGGGTGGCGTTTGGGGGCCTCTGATGTCAAAAGGCCACCTCTTTCTTTGCACAAGCCTACTTGAAAGCTCACTGGTCTCAACTGGTTTGAACTAGGCAGGAGCTGCCCCAAGTTCCTGAAAAATGTGAGCAATCATGACAGTCATGACATACATGTTATCTGTAAGGAAGCCAGCAACGTTAGGTTATAGCGCTCAGCCGCGTGGCCTTCACCTTCACAGAAAAAAAATAACAAAAGCAAGTGACCAGAAACAAGCAGGGCAGGCCAAACTGGGCAGACCTAATCGGATTAACCCTGTGGTCTCATGTGTAATATCACAACTATAAAGAATGTAATGGCAGGGCACGGTGGCTCAAGCCTGTAATCCCAGCACTTTGGGAGGCCGAGGCGGGTGGATCACGAGGTCAAGAGATGGAGACCATCCTGGTTAACATGGTGAAACCCCGTCTCTACTAAAAATACAAAAAAAAAAAAAACTAGCTGGGCGTGGTGGCGCGTGCCTGTAATCCCAGCTACTCAGGAGGCTGAGGCAGGAGAATTGTCTGAACCCAGGAGGCGGAGGTTGCGGTGAGCCGAGATCGCGCCATTGCACTCCAGCCTGGGCAACAAGAGCGAAACTCCGTCTCAAAAATAAATAAATAAATAAATAAATAAATAAATAAATAAATAAATAAAAATAAAACAAAAATAAAAAAAAAAGTGCGATCTTGACTCAAAAAAATATTTTTTTGAAAGTATTTCCTAAGAAATCTTAAATATAATGATTCAAGAAGATCGATAATAAAACTGAAAAAAGATACTGCATACAAACATTAAAACTGGGTTAAGGGTACTCTCAATCTCTCTGCACTATTTTTACGACTTCCTATGGATCTATTATTATTCTGCAATGCAGGGCTTTTTAAAAAAGGTTGTGGGCATTTATATTAGGTTGCATTACACTTATAAATTAACTAAGGGAAAATAACATGTTTATTTTGTTGAGAGATACTATTCAATACTAAGGAATGTCATTAAATTTGCCCATCTACATTTGTGTTTTTGAGTTTAAAGTTTTTCTCATAAAGGCTGCTAACATTTCCTAAATTGTTATTGCTAAGTATCTAACTGTTTCATTGCTGTTGTTAATAGAAATTTTCTCTTTTTCTGTTCCACCATATCCTGACTGGTTAAATGTTTATAAGATTAAGGCTACTTTTTTTTGAAACGGAGTCTTGCTCTGTCACCTGGGCTGGAGTGCAGTGGTGCGATCTCAGCTCACTGCAACCTCTGCCTCTGGCGTTCAAGTGATTCTCCTGCCTCAGCCACCCAAGTAGCTGGGATTACAGGCGTGCGCCACCACACCTGGCTAACTTTTTATATTTTTGGTAGAGATGGGGTTTTACCATGTTGGCCAGGCCGGTATTGAACTCCTGACCTCAAGTGATCTGTCCGCCTCAGCCTCCCAAAGTG